AATATTTATTTGAAATTGTATTGCTTTATTTACCTTGGCTAATGGCAACAAATGTGCATGCATAGTATCGTCCAATTTAAAATCCTCATAGAGTAAATGAAAACTATAAAATATAGCCGGTATGGTATTGAATAAACAAGCCGTAGTATCAATATTTGTACATTGTGAATTATTTTCTTTTGGTGGCTTATTATCTGAACCTTCTAGAATGGACAACATAAATTGCCAATCTTCTTCGGTACCCGAATGTATTTCATCATTTTTCTTTCTTTTCTTTGGCTCCTCAGCACTAAACGATGTAGCAGTGTTACTGCTATAATCATGCATAACAGCTGAAAATCCCATTAGATCTAATAAAACATTACAAAATATTTCCCATTCTTGTTCGATAGAATAATCTCGTGATCCGGGCGGATTTCGTGCTCCATACCATTTGGTAATAAGCTGTATGTATTGATCTTTTTTGAGGACTTGTTTTAAAGCTTTGATGCAGCGAGTAACAAATTTAGTTTCATTTATTAAGGGCAAGGAAATGCGCAACATTTTCCCCGAACTATAGACTAAAGTAAGACGATTAACGGCCGGATCACGTAGACCCAAACAAATGTTGCTGTTTCTGAAATCAGAATATTTCAGAATACTTTATTTAAAGTTGTCTTATTATCGAAAATGTTTCTCTACTTACCTATTGGAAAACTGCGGTTGCAGGGGGTGTACTGGTGATAGCAAATGTAACTCGTCTTCAAAAGTAGTGTCTCCTGGTTTTTGTGCTGAAGGCAAGAGACTACTGCGACGAGGAAATGAAGTATTAGGAGATTTATTTTGTGTTGCTGGGGTAACATTTATAGTAACTTTTGAAGTTGGAGTATTGTTGGTGAGAGTATTGGGTATATGGACTTTAGATACTAAAACATTGCCAGTATATAATATTAAAGTTCCTGAGGGATCAAGTACAGCAATCATATTCATGCGCTATTTTATTAAAAGGGAATAAAATTTTATGATTTTAAAGTGGACTTTTGGTTGGGAAAAGTGCTTAATAAATCATTGTTAATTTCAAAAGTTTTTAAATAAGTCTATTAATATTACATTACCTCCAAGGCGACTGCATCTTTTGCCACTACCGTCATGGGTATAGTAGATATTTGTATATCTTTATTTTCGAAATTATTCAAGCGCACCATTTGTAGTTTACATGAACGTGGCAAAAGATAGCAAAGAAACGTTTGGCCCACTAAATCGGTGTGTATGAAGGCCTTTGAGGATATTTCACAAAAATCACGGTTGCTATCGAAAAAAATATTAATATCTAAACGATTTTGTTTGGAACTTTAAATTACTTACTTGCCGTAAGTGTTTTCCGTCCAAACATGTTCCAAACACAACTCAGGGACAATGGGTTTTGAGGGTTGAGATTGACCGCATTTGCGTATATCCTGTACAGATATAGAATGTTGACCTATGGTTGATTGTAAATTACTTAAAGGTGAAGCTGCTGCCGAACGACTAAATTAAAAACAATAAATTATTAAATTCATGTCTTTCTCTTATTTATATAATAAAATACTTGAAATTTCCAAAGGCACCACTTAATGAATGAGCACAATTGAGGAATTTACTTATATGTGTAGAGTAATTCGAGGTTCCCAAGCTAGTGCGTCCTAGATGTGTGCTATTTTTAGGAGCCACTAAGTAATAAATATAATTTAAACAAATGCTAATACCCAACAAAAACGTAACCACTTACCTCCCGGAAATTTTACACTACTTTGTGAAAAACTACATTGACCGGCAGTATGTTGTCCTAAAGTACTGCCACCCTTATGCATACTAAACTGATGAACTGTACTACCCAAAACTGTTTCATTTTGTGCTCCAATATATTGTATCTCATCAGCGCTAGCTTTACGCAATTTCGATATGAAATGTTTTCCAATTTTGGTATCATACAACAGCAAAAGATCAGAATTTTCATCGGAAAATATTATATTATAATCGGACTCAATAAGATAGGAAATAACATTTGTAGCAGATTTATTTAAAACGGGACAAATCTCATCCAATGGATGAGAAAGTGAAAATAAACGTGGCATAGAAATGGTATAATTCTGTATAATAGTATTAGAGGCTACTTTTTCTAAAAGTATGCCAAAACGTGTAGGCCAGACATGTGATATGGGAAATTCTAAATTCGATAGAAAATCTTCACCATTACTGCAGTAAACACGTAAAGAGGTTTGATCTAAAATCACATAATATGAAATGCAATTATAATTTTATTAAAACACAAACTAACACTACCTATTAAACATATTGAAGTTTGTTTATCCTCTTCTTCATCCTCCTCTTGTTGCTGTTGCTTTTTATGGTATTCCAAGGAAGTTTGTGTAAATGATTTATTACAGAAGAAAGCAAATTTTATGGGAGTTTCACAGGTAAAACATAAACGTGGTAAAATACTGCGTTCATCTGCTAGACCTTTAATTGCAAAGCATACATATATTTTATTTAACTAGTCAAAATCCAAATGTATTCACTACATACCTCGAGTCCATACAGCTGTATGTTTCTTTACATACAACTCTTCCTCCGAGTTCATTAAGTATTCACTTACATATTCCTGAGGCTCTTTTAAATAGTTCAAGTTAACATCTTTGCTCTTGCCATTATCCGTTGCATTCTTGTTATTTCTTTTCATTGAGACTTTAGTTTTAATATCAAACTTATGGGCTTTTTCCTCCCGTTTACATTCCTCATAGATTTCACGTATACACCAGAATTCGTTGTGTTCTTCTTTGGCCGAAATATTAACATTTTGTAGACGCTGTAGTAATATATTCTCCGAGGGCAAATGAGGATGTGGTTTAGTCTCCGTGGGACCAGGATGCTCATCGACCGCCGGTCTACCTCGTGGAATATATTCCAAAGGAGGCTCTGATACGGCGATCATTACTTCACCAATTTCATCCAGATTTGCAGAAATTTTTTGCAATACATTCAATGATTACCACAGGAAAATGTTTATAGATGTCTTCTAGATATTTTAGATAGAGATATTAAGATATTTATTAGAGAAAACTCAATAAAAAATCATAATAACAATTAAATGTTTATGCCGGCAATAAATTCGCGGTGTAATAATCAGAACCCTGCGCCGACAAATATTAACGGCAGCGGCTTAAAATCGACTGTAAGCCGGCTTAGTATCAAATAACCTTAATTTACAAATTTCCAAAGATTTTATATAAAAACGGAATCCGAGAGATAAAAAAGTATATAATTTATAACAATAAAATAGAGCAACCACAAAAGTTGTGTGAGAAATTATGCAGGGATGGAAAAAAATAAAAAAAATGTAAAAATTTAACTCGCTATAAAAGATACAAAAACAGTTTAAAGCTTATCGTCGTTCATTTAAAAAATAAGCGGACAGGGGTCTGGTACTTTTTTCAAATTCGGGCCTTTTAGGGAATAAACGGGTAAAAACTGTATTTTGGTACTTTTTTTGCACCCCAAGTATCTTTTAAGCTAGGGAACATTCAAAAAATATTTTTGGCTCCTTTATAACTTGACGAAAAAATAGAAATATGAATTTAGTACTTTTTGGATATTCGAACGTTTAAGGGGTGAAAATTGTACCTATTTGGTACTAGAACATTGTTTTTGGTTTATTAACTTATACATATGAATACATAATATCGGGCTCCCAATACGATGTTGCAACTTTTTGGAATAGAATATTTATTTCGTTAATGGGGAGGAAAAAAATACCAAAGGGGGTAAAAGCGGGAAATTTGATTTTATTAAAACACAATGATCCAATTTATATACAGTTTTTAGATTTAGAAACACTAAATATGCTAATGGGGTGTTGTTTGGAACACCGGTACCAAGTGATCTTTTTTGGTACTTTTTCATTCTCCAACTGGTACTTTTTGAGTTTCTATGATATTGAAATCGAAACATGAAATTAACAATAAATGGATTTTTCGGTACTTTTTCGTTCTACACAGGTACTTTTTGAATTTTCTATAATATTGAACCTAGAAACATGAAATTAAGCATGTAGAGCCCGGAGGAAGTGAGAACATATAAAAGGGAACTTTTTGGTACTTCGTTCTTCAAAAGGTACATTTTGTGTGTTTTATAATATTGAAACTAGAAACATGAAATTAAGCATGTGAAGCCCGAATGTAATGAGAATCTAGAAAATCGATTATCGATTTTATTGACAGAAAACAAAAGGCCCTATCTACAAAAACATTTAAATATTATAGGTAAAAAGTCCAATTTATCAATTTTTATATACGCCATTGTCAACTACAGTAACGTTAGAATTTTATATATATAGATGTAGTATATAGATAATTAACAAAAGTGTTATTTATATTCGTCTATGCCGAATCTTATATACCCATCATCAAAACATACATAAAATTTTTAAGCCGTATTAAGCTGAAAAATTTTCGGCGGCGGTGGTTTTGAAATTTTGTTTGACGGCTAGGCATAGTAGGCTTAAAGCCGAATCGGCGCGGGTTTCTGGTAATAATTTTTTGCAAAACTGCTTCTTCTTCGAAAAAATAACAGAATTTAGTCACACAGAGATGATAACACAAGAGTGCTGCCAGATAAAATATTTAGGGATCGACAAAATGGGTGCATAAATAACGGTAAACTATTAAATTTCTTAACCGAAATATGATATATTTTACTTTGTTGGTAGGGTATTAAAAATTTTATGGGGCATTTACTATTTTTTTGATAATACTATTATTATTATTATTATTATTATTTTTATTATTATTATTATTATTATTATTATTATTATTATTATTATTATAATTATTATTATTATTATTATTTTCAGCAATGCAAATATTATATGCCCATATTATATCAACAAACAAATGCTCTGGCAACTCTAAAGAAAAATCAAAACAAAACAAATTCTCTCTCATAACAAAAATAACAAAATGAACAAAAAAACAGTCGGAAAGAAAACGTCAAAGCTTTGAGAACATTTTACATTGTAGAAACGGAAGATGTGAATTACGCATTTGATAACATAAACATTTGATAAATAATTTTACAAATAAAATAATAATAACAATGACACTAGTGTATGGTTAATGTTAATTAATTATAGAAAACACTTTCGAATTTTTAAAACCAGCCATAAAATTGTGCTATATACTTGGAAAAATCTGAAAGCAAGTGTCGTCATCAGTGAAAGTGTTCGAGTGATTTAATATTATTGTATATATTTTTGCAAAACCAACAAGAAAAAAAATAAAATCCTTGTCGAGGTCATTTTGAAAACGAGAAAAAGTAAACCTATATGTATATAATAATAAAAATATTTGGATAACGCGTTTTTTAATAAAATTCATGTAACAACTTGTTGACCCCCTTTCTTGAGATACTTGTAAAACTTATAAAACTTACAGAAGCAAGTTAATAATAAGAAAATTATTGATTTATACAAAAATAATTTATCAATATTTTGTAACTAGAAAACGAAAAACTCAACCACCCCCACCCACTTGCTAGCAGCAAGTAGAAAAAAAGTATTAAATAGAATGTGGGAACTTAATGTAATAACAAAATGTGATTATTATTGTTAATATTATTTAAACTAAAAATCATTTAGTCATTTGTATTCAAGTGATAAAGTAGTGTATAGTAATTTGGTATATCTACTGGGTGTGTGTAAGATTTTTTTTTCTTAAAACCAATAAGGGCAAAACTACACGCAAGCTAGAATAATAATAAAATGCCAAAAAGTGATTTCGATTTTCCGAAACGTCCTCTATTCCCATTGGATCCCAGCAGCAGCAATGGAACAAGTAACACATTATATCACCACAACACATCATCCGGCTCAACGACAACCTCAACCGGTAAACGTATGTTTCTTTATGCTTCAAGAGGTCTACGAGTTATACAACTAAATTGGAAAATTTTCACATCCGCCTTGGCCGTGACATTGTTGGCCATCATTTGGTATTATCCCGTCTTCTTTCTATTTCTACTATTCGTTATTTATTCTCTACTTTTAGTGGTGGCCGGTAAGTTTAAAATTGTTATTCTTTTCTGCTATCACTCACGTCCATTCATCCATCCAGCAGTTAGCATGTAAATTTACGCCCTTTTTTGTATTGAACATTTGCTGTCGTCAATGTTTTTTTGTTTAAAAAAACTTGTAAATCCTTATCTGTTTTATTATTATTATGGATGATTTAAATTAAATTTAAATCAGGGAATTTTTCTTTAAAAATAATCTTAACATATTTTCCGTTAATTTAAATTAATTTTTTATCATCTTCTGTGAGTGTGTGTGCGTGTACATGGTCAGTAAGAAACTTATCAGCATAACTGTTTGTATATGTTATTATTATACCCCACTTGGAAATTTTAAATTTTTTAATTACAGTCTATAAACAAATCACTATTAAGGACATTTTTACATTCTAGATTTTTGATATGTAGTTACCAGAATTGTCAATAGACTAGACTTTAGTCCATAGACAAATCCATAGCTTAATAAATTAGTCAATAGAAAAGTGTATAGACCAGGGTACACTAAACAGGTAAATGCATCACTACAACAATACAAAAACAACATGTATTTTGTTTTTGTAATTGTATGAGCTCAATGTCAAAATAAATTAAAATATTTTTTGATGTTTGTCTTTTAAAAAAATTCTTAATTTTATTTCAAAAAACATGCAGTGATTTTAAATGGAATTTTAAGGGATATGCATGTTTATATACTTATATTAAGGTGGATGCTATTGGTAAATGTTACAGAGGAATTGGCAGAGGACCTGACAAAAGCAAGATTTTGGAATAACCTGATTTGTGCCACGAAATTTGTATCTTTAGCTACAAAAGTTTGGCAAACGAAAGTGGGCGAAAACGGGCGCAATACTAAAGATTGTTGATATCTGAATTGGCCTGATTTGTGCCAATAAAGTTGTGTTGTGGCTACCAAAGTGTGGCTAAAGACAACAGCCTTCTCAACGTGCGCAATACGGGGGATAGTTGATATCTGGAATGACCTGATTTGTGCCATTAAAGTTCTATTCTAAACGGATGAAGTTTGGCTAAAGACAGCGGACCTCAGAAAGGGCGCAATGCGGAAGATGGTTGAAATGTATTTTTTGTGCAAACAATATTATTTTTTTACAAACTAAACATTTTAAATTTTTTTATTATTAAAATTTTATTTTGTTTCAAATAAACAAAAACTTATTTTGACAGAGAAGGTATGCAAATAAGAAAACAAAAAAATTATCAGCTGTTCGATTGCATATACCTGTTTAGTGTACACTGGTATAGACTAATGCAGGGATGGACAATTCAGTATCATTCTATTGTGAAAAGTACAATATCACTAAATTTTTTTAAATTCAGAAAATTAACTATTCAATATTCAATAAACTAGACTAATCCATAGGCTAGTTAATAGACTAGTGAATAATTTAGTCAATAGACAATTTTACTAAATTGTATGAAAACTGTTGATCTATAATTGACATAATTCTCTATATAATCATTTTTAAGAAAAATTAGTTTATTTTTAATAAATATTTGTTATATATGGATTTTATTAAAAAATTTTTGACCCTATCGAAATATGCTTGTTTAATAATTGATCCCTCCTCTTTCGAAAATCACTCTATTGCTCATAAATTTTGTATTAATAATGATATCGGGATAAAATTATTTGTATATGTGTTTCAATACTTTGTAAGAGCTAGTATGGAGATACTAGGACTTTTAGATACAAAAATCTATTTAAAATATTGATATACTATAGATTGCACAAATAGCTGGAAATTAAGTAAACTAATAAAGCTAAGCCCATATTCCGAAAGACATCTTAAGCTCATGATGGTGTAGGTTATTATTTTATCTATTCTATCTACAATAGGTATATTTTTCTTTGTTTTTAATTTAATTTGCTTTTGTTTTTTCAGCTGTGGCTGGTACGGTTTATATACATTATTTGTTTACCAGTAAGGAACCACCAAAACCAAGTCGTGAACCTTTAAATGTATTATACAATGCAACCAAGTAAGTTTTTTAATGTTTAAATTTGAAATTGAAAAATGTAAGAAATTGGAAATTTTTTTCTTTTTCAGAAATACTTTATTTGATTTACCCAATCCCATTAAAAATGCCTCTAATTTACCCTTAATATTTGGTAAAACAGTGGATTTACAAATACAACAAATAATTGAATATGTTTTAAGAGATTTTATGACAACATGGCTGGGGTAAGTAGAAACCTTCTTAAAAAACTATTAATTCAATTCAATGATTTTATTAAATCATTAATATAAAACAGACATGTCGTCACAAAACCCAAATTAATTAATGATATTGTAAGAGAAGATTTTTGGAATGCCATTGAAAAAATGCACGAAAGAGCCAAAAAGATAGATGCCTCAAAAATAATAGCTGTAGATATGGTTAATAGGGTAACCGTACATTTAGAGAAAATACGCATAGCAGAGGCAAGAGCGTAAGTTTTTCAGTTAAATTTTAAGTAAGTTTTACAATTACAGTTTTACAATTACAGTGCCGAAACAAATACTCCACCTGTTTTCTCTACCAATTCATATTTGGTAGATGATGAAAAAGAATTAGAATTCCTGCGTAAATTATGTGAAATCATGATAATACTTTTGCTGCCCAGAGGCTATTCCTTACCACCACTTAAAGTTTTATTAAGTGAAATACTATCTTATAAAAGTAAGTAATTTATAATTTATAAGGTTTAATAAAACCTATACAATTTATATTCATTTTCTTTTAGTATTTTTTCCCATGATTAAAATGTTGACCTCACCTGATTATATTAATCAAAAGGTGGTGCAAAATATTGAAAGTCGTTTGGCGGCCGCTGCCATAAGTAAACGTAGTTATGAATATGCCGCCAGTTTTGAGGATTTTCTTAAGATCATTAACAATTGTAATAATCTGGAGGAATTGTCCTTGATACGTAAAAGTATTGTTAATGATTTAATGCATGCCACTACTGTACAAAATTTACAACGTGCCAAAGGTATTGATCCTGATAATGACCCCGATCATAATCTTTCTAAATCGGATATTGCGGCTGCCACAAGATTAAAACGTTATATACAACAATTAACCTATGCCAAAGCACAATGTGAAAAGAATCTGGAAAAATATGGTTGGAATGGCAATTATTCCAGTGATGTGGATTTAAGTTTAATAGAAATACTTAATACGGCAGTGGGCAGGCGTTATTTGACGTTATTTTTAGAACCTTTAAAGGCCAGCGCTCTGGTGGGCTTTTATATGGCTGTGGAGGAAATGAAACATGCACCCAAATCGTCAGCCCATCAATTGGGTACGGAAATATTTTACACTTATATAAGGGTTCCCAAATCCGAAATACAATTCGACAAACATGAACGTAAACTAATAGAAACTTTCCTCTTGGGTGATTCGGGACCAGAAATATTCTATGACTTGCAAAAACAAATACTCAAAACATTAGAGGACAAATACTATCCGCCCTTTGTGCTGAGCGAACAATATCGTTTGCTTAAAGAGGCACTCGATGCTGAAGACTATAAAGATCCCACCTTATTAATATGCTCTCTAAGTGATGTTCATGATGAACCCTCTGCCACGCTGGATGGGGTAGAGGGCACACCCTCAGCCACCATTGATGTGGCTGCTCATACTTCATATGCTCGCAAGAAACTAGAACAGATACAGGAAAGAATAGACAAGAAAAATCAAGCTTTGGATGCTTTAAAATATTCCGTAAAATCAGATTCAAAAGTTTTACAAATTTTGGAAAAAGAAATGGAATGGTTGAAGAATATCAAAAGGCAAACAGAGGCTCATTTAAGACGTACTGATGCCTGGACCGAGCATTTGGGTAGATGGAAGGCAACTTTGCAAAGTGTAGAGGTAAATGGAGAAGGGTATAGAGGTAAAACTTTTTCATTAATATTTCTAAACTTTTTAGATTTCAGACGAAAAAGAATCTTTGCAATTTATGATATTGGTTCATGTCGATGAAGATATTAATGCACCGGCATCCTATAAAACAAGCGGTAAACCAGAAGCCAGAACGGGTAGTATATCTAGTGGCTGGGTGGTTATGAGATCATTAAATCAAGTGCATGTAAGTAAAACAATTTAAAATAATTGTTAAAAATATATAAAAAACTTAATGCCCCGGGTGAGGCTCGAACTCACGACCTTAAGATTATGAGACTTACGCGCTGCCTACTGCGCCACCGAGGCATTTTTAATTTGATTAAACTAACTAACATTTTTAAAGTTTTCCTTTACGATTTTTATAAAAAATTAGCAAATTATTGCAAAAATTAATAATATTTTTCTTTTCTTTTAGGAATTGCAAAGAAAACTACGACATGTTAGTGCCAATCTAAAATCCTTCGATTTGCCAACAAATTTTAAGTTTTTCTTTTTGAAAAACGATAAACATGCCTTGGAAAAGGCTAAACAACAAATTCAAAGATTTTTAAATGTAAGTATTTGGCAATTTTTGCATATAAAAAGAATAAATTAGTTTTATTTAATTTAATATGGCTTGCTTGTGTGTGCTTTTAGATTATTTTAGAAGATGACCATTTAAATGGTAGTGAAGCTATTTACACTTTTCTAAGTCCTAGTTCAGATCATTTAAAACAAACTTTACCCTCACCGAAAAAGTCGAAATTTTCCCTTTCCACACTTTTCAAAACGGAACCGGTGAAAACCACCGATGTATCGGGCAAATCTTCAGATCCATTTTGGGGTTTACAGCGTGATGATGAGGACATATCAAATTATTTGGAAGGTGATACAGCAACCGATAATAAATTGCTAGCCGATTTAGATAATAAAGACTCGATTGCGGAACCTTTGTATGCCTTGATGGGTGAAATATTTGATATGGGTGGTGTGTTTAAGTGGCTGCGTAAAAGTATTATATCATTTGTACAAATAACCTATGGGCGAACAATAAACAGGTAAAGAATTGAATAGTTTTTTGTAAAAAATTAATAAATATTAATTATTATTTTTAATTTTAGACAAATACGAGAATCAATTTCTTATCTATTTGAAGAATCTATGCTGCATTATTATTTTTCGGCCATGCTTAAGTCGTTTTGGCCCGGCGGTGTTTTAGCCTCAGCCTATCCGGTACGTTCGGATGATATGAAAGAAATGACTACAAATGCTGCTAAAGCTTTACTAATGGATAATATACCCGAAGTTTTATGCAATCTAGTGGGGGCCCAGGCTGCCAAAAGTGGTATTATTAAAGTTTTTGATGCTTTACAAAATCCTATCTACAACAAACAACTATTTTATGTAAGTTTTTCTTTTAAAACTTAAAAATTCTACCTTTATTGTTTAAATCGTTTTATGCTTTACAGGAATTACTAGAAATTTTAATGATAGAATTTTTTCCCGAAATAAAACAACTTAAAATTCATACTCATACAAACCTTACAACGGCCAGCACTACTGGCATAACGCATAAATTACAAAATAATAATCATAATAATGATAAACAACAACAACAACAACTACTACATCATAATACAGCTCATCACAGTAATGCTAGTAGTGTGGCATCTAATAGTGGTGGTCAATCATCACACTCTGGTCATCATCATCATCATACGGGAAAATAATTATGTATTTAGAAAAAATAACCATATTAAAGGAAAACAAAACTATTATCAGGTGCTGCATAACCAAATATTGAAAAACTAAAACAATTTCGAACAAAAACAACAACATTTCAAAACTATATATAACCTTCAATGCATTTAAATTTTTCTTAAATGTTTTTTTTAATTTTAATTTTGTTGAAATTTAGTTAGTGGGTTTTTAAACGAATAGGTGATTACTGGAAAGTTTACAAATATTTTTAAAGAAATTTTGAAGGTATGTAACATTTAATTTTAAATTTAAATCTGGGTTTTGCGACTTTTTTTGGTCGATATCTTGTAATCTGTACTAGTTTACTATTGAAGAATCTTTGGTGATTTATTACATGTTCGTAGTTTAAGCAGGTTTTACTTAAAAGCCATTTTGTTTTCTTACTTTTATTGACAATATAACTTTAAGTTTTTTTTTTAATTCTTTTACAAAATTCTTAAGATTCCGTTCAATTTTTTTTGAGTATATTTTAGGTAAAAAAATTATATGTATATAATTTATATAAATAGCTTTAATTTGTGATAATTTTCGTTTTTAAATTATAAAAACTAACGCCTCTTTAAGTTTTAAAGAAAATATAGATGTGTTTCTATAAAATCAAAGAAATTTTCTTTCTTAGATTTGTAAATAAAAAAATAAATAAAATTTAATAATTTTTATTTATTTCATTGCAAATATAGGAACTTACGGTTCTTGCTCACTTATTGAAACTGGTCTAATATATTTTTTCGAAGGACATTGTTTAGAAACATGGAAGGAAATTTTATTTATAAAAAAACTTTTCACATTTTCCCTTTCAATTTATAAATTATTAGCTAAATCCGATCCTAATTACAGTTTTCCAACATGCCCTATATGCTTCTTCAAGTAAAGATCTAAATATTCCATAAATTGAAAATCAACTCTGGCCGGCTATGTAAAATAAGTCGAAAAATAATATGTATGTTTTTATAAAGGATTAAGCTGAACTGAAACCAAATCTGAGCTCAAAATTCTTCATCACATCAGGTTTACGAGATATCTTTAACTTAAGTTTGAAAAACATATATTTATATTGGTTTCAATTCCTGATTCTTATATGAATGCAAACCTGATCTGGTTGAGAAAATTCAGATGCGAGTATTGGATTCAGCTCAGCTCAATTCTTTAGAATAGTGTACTTTGTTCTCTGGGTTAGAAATGTGTTGAGCTGTGTTATCGGTTCAGAAGTTTCACTAATTTAACTAAAATTGAAGTCTTAAAAAGTTCTTTATTCTGAATTCATGAAAATCTTAAATATTTT